CTGCGTATACATTCTGCGTGAGGATTCACTTATCCCCACTTTCTGCAAATCAACGTGAACTACTGAATAGCTTGACTGATAAAGGCAAGCTATCCTGCAAATTTGCCTCTGCTTCAGTCAAACGATACATGAGGATATAGGAAAAATACGGAGTTTATTCACCCTATTTCGTTCAGGATGATACGGGGACTGGTAGCTGAATTTTTACACAATCATATGAATAGACCTTACATTTCCATTTATTTTCGTATAGCCTTGCCTTCCCGAAAGGTATTCTGCAGGTCTTATCAACACTCCCAGCGGGACTCGAACCATAATAACTCAGCGTATAATCTCGACATGTTAACCACTTCTACGAGGGCCCTTGGGTCACAGGACAGCCGTAAATTTCAAGGAAGACTGGGCATTTTTCCATGTCACATTCTGTGGTGAATTTATCGATGAAACAAAGTTATATTTGCTACAGTAATCGACGATATTACTAATTTTTTTGTTTTTAGTAGGATTTAGAGACGAAAAGTAAATCAGAAAAATGAGATCTATCCATCCCTTTGCGAAAACAAGGCTATGTGAAATTCAATGTAAACGCAAGGTATATTCGTATTATTGTGGAAAAATTCAACTACTAGTCCACTTATCACCTTAGACGAAATAGGATGAAAAATGTTTCTTATGAAGATACCAGTAGCTTCTTAAAAGGCTGTCGGGAGCTTATTCACCAGCCTCAGATATACTTATTCGGTACGCAATCTTGAAGCTTCATGTCGAAAGATGCATACTTGGCCTATTAACGGCGGGCCCAATTCAGACTGAATTTAGACAAGCCTGGTTAGCCTTGGAAGTCGCGTCTCTCCTGTGAACCACCAGCCTGTGGCACCGTGAGATCTTATACCAATTTCAGTGCGGCAGATTTGGCAATTAGTCCTGACATCAAACCTCTGCGTGTGACGAAAAGCTGATTTTTGAGGAATCCCTTTTTATGATTTATCGTTAAGTGAATTTTCACTTAGAGAGCACAGTTGGCTGGAAGAATTTCATTAATTGGTTTCATCTAGAACCGAGGAAGGATTGCCTTGGAGGATTAAAGACTGTTTGATTGTGCAAAGAAGTCCTCGGTTCATCGTATTACGGCCGTGATGAACCAGTGTTAGGCTTTCGTCTGTCCCGTTTTGACAGAGATCATCAAAGCTAGGAATCAAAACGATGCCAAAACGATGGCAAGGTTGCCAATACATCAGAGAACAGACGCGACTTTAGCGTAGGTTCAGGCATTTGCATATCAACATTTTAATATGGGTTTGTCAATGAGGCAAACTTGTATGTGTTATTACAAACGACTAGGCTACTTATATTCATTGTGAGTTGGATTCGAGACTGTCAGTATAACTTGCACAAGATATTCAGACACTTTAGGTCACGTAAAATGATGATGGTGTGCGAGTTGAATATTCCTACAATGATATGTGTAGGTTTCATTCCATCACAAAATACGGTTTGTACTCATGAGCTGACTCACAGTGCCGAGACCTACTCAATATGAATATGAGTAGCGTAGCCGATTTTAATAGGAAGTACAAGATTGCCTCATCTGAAATCCCACGATAAAGTGTAAGATGATAAATTCTAGGTTTTCCGTAAAATTCATATATGCCCTATGACCCCCCGGTACTCGTGGCTATGCTGCCTGGCTGTAATTCGTCAAAAATAAACGCTGCACACGCACTATTTGGGCTTGATTAACGTCGTTTATGATGATAGGAGGTGGTGAGACGCAGTCGAACTCGTGGTCCAGTCGGAATGAGGATACCCTTTGGTTAGCGAGGCTAAGTGAAATTCGGTGGAACCCTTAGGCCCCGTCATATGAATTTGGGGAAATTCGTCGTGTACGGACTAAGATGACTAAAGCTCTGATTCTGCATTTACCCACAGGCCCGAACGACCATTGAAAAATGATAAATGCGAAGAAAAGCCCGATTAACTCAAATCTTTTCCTTTTATAAGCAGGTCCTCGAGACCGCCAGTAAATCAGTTATATGAGATGCATTCACCCTATTTCCTGTCATGTGATAAGGGGACTGGCAGTTGAATTTTTCCACAATCAGATGAGTAGACCTTAGGCTTCTATGGGATTTCACATAGCCTTGCTTCCCCAAAAGGTATTCTCATCCAGTCTGGATAAGGGCTGTCGAAACGTCAGGTTTATTCATATGCCTGTAGGAAACTTCAACTACCAATCCCCAAATCACCTAAAACGAATTAGGGGAAATGCATTTTAGCCCAAATTTTCCGGCCAAATCAGCTCAGTCACCCTCACTTTTAGCCTCTTCCTCTCCTCAACCGAAGAGTGGCCTCACTCGCCAACCAAATCCACTCACCTGATACTCGAAAAGTGTGGGCAGAAGATAGGCCTGCTTCAGATACGTGTTCGGCATTACATAGAGGGCCAGAAGCATCAGTGGATCCAGTTGGCTGCTGTACGCAAACGTGTTGGGCAGCATAGGACTGCTACTCTCTTCAGGCATAAAGTACTGGCGCATTCCCTGGACCAGGTGATACATACCTCAAAGAAGACAGAAAGCAAACACACACATTTACATGTGCTCAAGGATAGGGCTGCTATTTTAGACAATTATTAGTAGTGTTGGCCCGACCTCGTTTATGTAACTTGGTCGCCACGTCGGAGAGACCTTGTGGAAAGTACTCAATCCTGTGTTCGTGATTCTTAGCTTCGGACCATTGATTTGGTACATTCATAAACGTTTCGCCGGCTTTTGGCCTTTCTGAACTGTTGTAAACGTTATGGCATCCCTCCTGGTGATGAGAAAATACCATTTTTATAAGAATAATTATTTATATATATATATATATATATCAGAATCCGACTCAAATCATGCCTGAGTCGAGTTAATATCTAAAAACTTAAAT